TACACAATGAAAGAATTTCTCTTCCGAATGGATCTTTAGGTGCCGAGTCAAATTATGCTTTAGACCAGGGTTTTTTAAACTGTGCGTCGCGAGACCTGCAACAGGGGGTCGCCAAAAATTTTAGCAGTTTTGATATTTCTTTAACTTATTATAATAATTTTACAATTACCAAATATTTTAACACAGTGTATCTGAAAAATAGATACAGATAAGAAAAACAGACAAAGAAAAAGAGGAAAACGTTTCGACGCATTCTTTTTATAATATAAACGTTCGTTTTCCTTGCTTTGTACGTGACGCTGCCATTTCGTTTCTTACTTATTTAAAATTTTCACATTGTTCTATGTCTTAAAATTAGAAATTAAAGTTAATGACCTGAAACTGCAATAGTATATTGCAGTTTCACTCATGCGTGTGTCGGATTTGCGTAATACTTACGGGATCCCACAAAATTTTTGTAAATATTATGGGGTCCTGGGGGTCGAGAAAAATTTTCAGTGATAAAAAGCTGTCGCGGCTGAAAAAAGTTTAAGAAACCCTGTTTTAGACCAAACACTTTATCACAAATAGGACATACCTAAGAGTAAAGAGCAGAAACTCATAATTAGTAGAATAACTTAGTACATATATACATACACCTATCTCATACACAAAGACTCGCATAACAAAAAATGAAATTTATTAGAATATTGATAATATGTATACAATTCTTAGGCTGTAATGGCTGAATTCATCATAAATCTTAAACGTTACCACCATAAAATTTTCATCTTAAGTAATTTTTCACAAATTTAGTTTCACTAAGTACATCATGTCCCAATAACATAAACATTATACGTGTAATAAACCTTAAACATATTAAAAATATATTTCGTAAAACATAGTAAAACCTACCTTTTTAGGTATAAACGCATCAGTAGTAGTAGTATCATTGGAGATTGAAGAAACCTGAAGTATTAGCCATTTTAAACACAAAAATGGAAGCAAGAAAACAACGCACAATCGTAAAACTAGTTTACAAGGCACTGTAATAATGATTTTGGAAGATATGAATTTATATATGCTATATCATGGATCAAGGAATACCTTAAATCACCAGTCAGGTAATATGGATCAAAAATCAATATTGTTCAACCAATCAAATGTTTTACATTTACATATGGAACATTCTAGAACATTCATTATCATGTGATTTCATCCTTCTGTAATTATCTTATCAGATCTATCTAGTTAACATCCTGTTTTCCGGATGACGTTAATCTCCTTGGCAAAATTACTCAATTAAGGTTAACAAAGCAAACCACTTTACTAAGATAATAAACACATAATTAGGAAAGGAATGGTCTATCATTTAGAATTAAACATATGCATGTTATTAATCGCTAAGAATTCAAATGAATGTTTAACAAGTTTAACGCGTTTTATAGCTTTAAACACTGTTTCAAAATAGAAAAGCACTCCAAATTGTTTATACAAAATCACATTACCACATATAGTTTTCAAAACTTTAATCCAATGCCTCTTAGTAGGTTTATCAACAACAGATTGTTTTAACCAATGAGGAAAGGTATTTTAATGTTTTTTTCTAAATTTACCACATTTACCCAGTTCCCTAATTTATAAAATAAGCAAAATTGAAAATAATAAGAGCAGAAATATCACTATTTCAGAATTTAGGAAGAGACATTTAATAATGAGAGCGAAAATAGACTGAATTTCATGCAAGATTTTTATCGTTTCATACCAAACATTTCATTATTTCATAGATTCTTAGAATATATCCCAAACATTTTCAAATAATGTATATCATTTCGCATTAATTAGGAAGTGCCATGCGAGTTTAATTGCAGGTGTTTACTGAATGATACTAAACTTTCAAGAAACAATCAAATATTGTTTCATCTTTCATGAAAACTTATGAATAATAACGACATTTCATGAAAGTGTGAGGACTTCAAGTGCTATAAAACAGCTTCAAAAATATAAAAATATATTCAAAATCTCAATTCCCATAGAAAATTTCAGATATTCTCATATAAAAGTATATTACTTCAGTCGAACTTGAAAATATATTAACCAACCAGATTCAGAATCTAAAGAAAACAGGTTATGCTGCCTAATCCAACAATTAAGATATTGTTGCCTATTATAACAAAAATTTAAAATTATCCTCTCAGGCTTTGTTTCGTACAACTGCTTCAAAAAGTACAAAGCGTAAAATTTCAAATTATCTGAATATTCGAGATAAAAAAAGCATTAACGAAAATTTATTAGTCATATCAAACATTCTCTCCATAGATGTGAAGGAAACACCGGAAAATGACAATATAACTAAAAGTTGAAAGGTAATTTTTTAGCATGCACAATTAGTAAATGTACTTTTACTCCTAAGCTTATTGATGAAAAAATTTCAAAATGTGTTCCACATGTTGGAGAAACGTTTCAAAACTTTCTAGGTATAAAATCTCTGGATCCAAATATTTCGTTTAAAAAAAATGAGCTTTAAATTTTCAACCTGGCTGACTCAGTGACAATGTTATTAATTCTTTTCTTTTTTAACAGTCCTTGTGGTTCTACTTCAGTAGCAGCCAATTAATATCATACACTTTTATTTCAACCAGACAGTAGAGATCAAACTACATGGAAAAGAGAAAATTTAGTTTCTATGGGTTTCTAGTTCTTGTTAAGAATAATCATTGGGTTTTACAGGTAGCAAAAATTAAAGACAAAATGCTTCAGTTTTACGATCTACTTGGTTCTATTCAAGATTCAGTATATTCATTAACTGAGTTGTGGCAAGAAGACATAAATAGTGTTATAAACATAAATGATAGTTGAGGTGTTTCACTTCCAAGTCACACTATTTAGAATGATGGTATGAGTTATGGGATATTTATTTGCTATTTTGTACAGCATTTTAATACGTATGAGTTCAGAAAGTTTATTTATACTAGTTTATTTGGGGAGATAAATGAAGGAATATAAATTTAGGAAATAATTATTATGGATGTTTTAATGATAATAGAAACAGAAGACAAGGATTTTTGTGTGTTTATTCCTGTACCACAGTAGTTCAGTAAGAATATGCTTCCACCTTATACAGTTTTAATCTTTCTGTATGTTTCACTCTGAATTTATTCATTATGCTGAACTAAATAACTTGGCTTTTTCAGGCTTCCCAAAATCTTTTGAAGACTATGATTTAAAATGTTTCATGGTTTCTTAAGTACAATTTGATATTCATGTAATATATGTACATGTGGTAGAGTCAAAAGGTTTTTTTTTTTTTAATGCAGGAGACATGAAAAATGTGCAGTGCCTTAGCCAAGCTTCAAACCCTAGACCTCTCGAATACGCGTCGAGTACGCTTCCAATTACACCACGAAGGCATACGGAAAGGCGGGAGAAGATACCTTATATATACCTTATACTCCGCCTTTTAAATACCTTATACTCCGCCTTTTAAAGAGCGATTGGGGATTAGGGGACCCGGTCCCCAAATCCTAGTGGTGACGAATTATTATCCACCATTTTTTAGTTTGGGCGCCACTTGTAGAGTCACTAGATTTTTCTTGAAGCAGGAGACGTAAAAACTTATATATATATCCTTGCCGGGACTCGACTCGAACCCTGTACCTCTGAAGACGCGTCCAGTATGCTTCCAATTACAACACGAAGACATGCGGAGAGGAGGTAGAAAACACCTTATAAGGTCATAAAGTTTATTTTAAGAAAATTTATTGTTACAATGGTATTTATTTGTACAAACATCATTAAATCTGTTTAATCTTTAACTGCTATCGCCAGAATTCAATTCTGCTATTGTATAGTTTGAGAGGTGATTAATCCCCCCTTTATGAACAAAACATAAAAGATAATTAAAAGTTGTATAATGTTGCAAACAAAATGATAAATTTCAGTTTCCATTTAAAAGAATAAAAGCTCATGTCCTTAAACAGATATGTGTATGATAATGGCAGCTAAAGTTAAAACTTGCCTGTTTTTTGAATGGTATGTTTTTCAGAAACTTTAGTTCTCTTGTAGTATTAAATTCATGCAAGTAATATATTTTATCCTCTATTTCATTTTTAAAATAATTAATATGTCCTGAGCTTAATTTTTTCGATCAGTATTTCGCACTATTTAAATAAAGAATTTAAAAGATTTTTAATCAGCTTTAATTTTTTTTAAATCTTGGCGTCCTAATACTGTATAAATTCATCTCGTAAAATTAGTCTTATATAACCAATATTTTTACTTCAGACTTTACTTTTAAAACTTACATTATTGTAATTACGTAAAACTGAAATTAAATATGCAAGTACAGTAGAAGTCCATTAGTCTGCATCGCTCCGGAAAATTGTAAAAATTTTGGTTTTCTACAAAAGTGTGTCTTTAAAGCAAATAAAACCGCTCGAGAGCTATTCGGAAGTTTTCGGGGTAGTTCGAGATCATCCGGAAGCGCTAGGTATTGTTCGGAAACAATTAGCGGCCGGCTAGCCTCAGCTGTCACAACAAATTCAGGTGCAGTGCAGCTCCGTTAATCAATCACGAAGCGTCTTCGCCATTTTTTTGTGCGTTGTTGTTTTGTGTCCTTTCACATCGCAGTAAACGTAACTTTTGAAACTGTTTATAAAAAAAGTGATTTTCGTTCTAACTGTACAGTGACCATGTTTTCAAAACCTAAGCCTTCGAGTTCAAAAGGAGAGAAACGAAAACACGTAACACTGACTCTCAATCAGAAACTAGAAATCATCAAACGGCTAGAAAAAGGCGAGAATAGAAATGTTTTAATGAATGAGTTTAATATTGGCTCATCAACTATTTATGACATTAAAAAACAAAAAGATGAACTAATGAAGTTTGCTTCTCAATCGGTAACAACTGAAAAATTGGCTTCTAGACAAACATTAAAAAAACCAAAACTGGAACAGCTAGATAGTGTATTGTTCAAATGGTTTAGTGCAGTACGTTCTGAAGGAAAGCCGGTAACAGGGCCAATGATTGTTGAAAAGGCAAAGAAATTCGGCCAAGATTTAGGAGTTGCTGAAAGTGAATGTAATTATTCTGATGGTTGGCTCAGAAACTTTAAGTTTCGGCATGGAATTCGAAGACTTGATGTAACTGGAGAAACCCTTTCAGCAAACCAAAACTCTGCAGAAAAATACAAAGACGAGTTTGAGAAAATCGTGGCTGATAATGATTTAACACCTGAACAGATTTACAATGCTGATGAAACAGGGCTATTGTGGCGATGTTTACCAACATCTACACTAGCTGGGGGAGGAAAAAGCAGCCAAGGGTTTAAAAAAAACAAAGACAGATTAACCATTTTGCTATGTGCTAATGCGTCTGGAAACCACCGAGTGACCCCTTTTGTGATAGGTAAATCTGCAAAACCCAGGGCTTTTAAGAATGTTACACACTTGCCTGTCCAATACGATGCTCAATCAAATGCGTGGATAACTGCCGCCCTCTTTAAAGACTGGTTTTTTCACCACTTTGTGCCTGAGGTCAAGGAATCCTTCAAAAGCCTTGGTCTACCAGAAGATACTAAAGCCATCCTTCTTTTGGACAATTGCAAAGCCCATCCGCCAGTAGATGAGTTAGTTTCTGGAAATATTGTTGCTACTCTGCTCCCACCTAACGTAACATCTTTGATTCAACCCATGGACCAAGGGGTTATTCAAAATTTTAAATGCTTTTATAGAAGGTCTTTTATTCAAGGCCTGTTAAATGCCGACTGTGACGTGACTGATTTTCAAAAAAAGTTTACAGTAAAAGATGCCGTCTATGCTATTGCACAGTCTTGGAACCAGGTAAAAAATACAACACTCCAAAAATGCTGGAGAAAACTTTGGCCAGCTGCAAACCCTGCATCTGACCTA